GTAGGCCCACGAAACTAATACGACATTGACCTACTAAACTCTTCTGGTGAATAGTAACCGTCACGATAAATGTTGCCTCGGTTACCCACAGCAAATAATCCCAATTTCTGCAACATTTATATATTATGTGTTTCATGTCCTGGCAATTCGTGGTGATAAAAGCTCGTTTGTGGTTTGGAAGGCCATCTACTAACTAAATATGTGTATCAATAAACAACAGACACTTGTTAGTTACTGTGTTATGTATTGTTTGGTGAATGAAATGCTTTCTAAACAGCTTCTTCTATGTTATTGTAAGATTTATTCAAATTAAAATTGTCCTTCTTTGTCCATATTTACCATTCTCTGTTGTATTAACTGCATAAATTACAATCAAGAAACCTGTGTTTTAGGGTGTGGCACATACAATATGTGGGTATTTTTTTTGTCCAAGCACAAATGAATGAACTATTACCAAGCAACAATAACAGGCATTCGGTAATTGAAGAGGTGAAGCAGACAAAGGTGGATTGTGTCATATTATATACTGATTAGGCAAAGCAATTTTACTTTAGGGACACTTTGTAATGGTAGAGGATATTTCCTGTACTATACAACGTGAAGCTTTATACTATTACAAGGTTTGAAGAATGATAGGGCAACTATTTACAGTTTGAATTATCTAACAATTAAATAAATAACATGATACTCTCACAGGGTTATACAAAAATAATAGCCACTTTTCTAACCTTGCATTTTTAATATACATGTACATGTACAACGTGGCAGTAGATGAAGTTATGATTATTGCACCATCATTTGCAATGAATGTAGGAAGTCAGTGAGCTGTGAATGACACCGGTTCTCCTCTACTGAATGATGAAAATAATATCAAGTGACTTGACTGATGTCCGTAGTGTGCTGAAATGTGTGTATTATCATACAATAACAAAAACTAATGCTATACTAGTATGCTGATCAAGTCATTTTGTTGCTGCAGTACTCCTTCATGGATTCCAGTGATTTTGATGTTCCACCTTTTGTTAATAATGAATGGTACAGGTACAAATGGCTTAAATAAAAAGATTCTGTAGCTTAATATTAGACAGTAGCCTGCTGAGTCGGAGACAAACAGTATAGTCTAGCAGTAGCCAGAAGATCTTAGGACTCAGGGACTCCTATGGTCAAAAATCAGTCATAGGCTCTATTCCCATAGATTTTAGATTGATCTATCCCCACGGGAAGTCTCACTAGATTACTTTCAGATAATCCGACTCAAATGTCCGTCCCGCCTACTACAAGCTGTAAGGGAGTAATTAACTTTCGTGTCCGCCCGGCTGACAGCTATTTAGCGTGAACCCCCAGGGAGTTAGGTCGATCTAATCTATGGAAATGGGGTGATAATCATACATTCTATGCGGACAGTCCAGACATCAAGCACCCCTCCACCCCCACCCCCTCCCCCAATGTCAGAGAAAGAACCAGATGTGAAGTGAGATTTCAAGGAAATTCCAGTGTGATCAAAGTTATTAGAAAAAAACTGATACACACAGTGAATTGTACTTGGTGGTGAAACATGGTTGCTATCAACAAAACTAAACAATATGAAGATACCAAGGACTGTCTGTTACAAATGATGGTGAAATTTCTGCTCATTCTGTACTTAAGACGACAACATTTTCTTATTATTGCACACTGTCTGAGCTACACCTTGGTTGGATAACAGGAGGAACATGTTAAAAGCATGCAGGTGACAGATAGGTGACGGATAGGTGACAGATAAGTAAAGATAAGTATTGGATTGAACAAAGTTTCTTTTTAAACACCAAAAAGTTCAAAGTTAGAAACCACTTGTTTTCAAACTTATGACCAATTTCACTGAATCAGAAATGTCAATTTTCAAAATTTCAAAAAAATTCCATTTAGTTTATATTACATTTACAGAATGTAGAAGTCAGTATATAGTGTTAAACATACTGGCTGACTCCCAGGTGTGGTCACCAGGGAGCTGGCACTCTAAAGCCATGTTTATCTAGTAAGAAACTATAGCTTCGCCTAAGCCAACAATATTGAATCCATCTGACAGCTAAATCCTAAGAAATTAAAAAAGATGCAGATAGTCCTTAAGGTGATAAATTGATGTCACTTGAGTTCTCTGGTGAGAATGTAGAGTGTTTACTTATTTACCTAACAGCTATTTGAAGAGAAACCAGTGGAAGTTTAAATGAATCAGGTTTTAATTAAAGGGTGGGGGAGGGGGTATTTTTAATGGGGCTTCAGTGCATCCATCTATTGTTCCAGTGAAATACTGAAGCATGTCATATATTATACTTGATGGTTGGTTTCTTTCTTTGAAAGGCATTCATGGTGGTGTTAAGACCCAAAGGCTAAATCAAGCCATTGAGGTTAACATTAATTTTCTGTCAAGAGCTTACATCAGGCCTTCCCAACTACCAGACTCGGCACCTACGGGTCCAGTATAAACCGGTTTATCAGACCACACTACCCGTTTTCAAGGTGTGTGTCAGATCGCATTACAGAGTATCAGCCACCACACCGATTTTGCCAGGTGCGCGATGTGATAGCAATGATCCTAAGCGGGGTTGGAAAGTAGTGCATCTCATCTAGATTCATGCGCTGCTGCAATTTTCTGTTTATGCTCAAATCTGACAGTACCGCAATTTTTAACATAAAATTTAGGTTCGGACATAGCCATTGATGTTTTGTAAATAAGAACTTGCAAACTTATATATTAATTTAGAAAAGTATACCTAATTTTGATAGCAGAAGCATATTCTGTCGGGGGTTAAATATTCTTGTGACTACCGGGATGGACGAGATTGAGGGCAGGGGTAATCCTAGAGAGGGGTGAGAAACGTCCATTGTTCTCGTCAGCGAGGCTGTCCTTTTTCAGGGTTTGTACGCACGGACAGAAAACTTAAGTATTGTGGGAACGTTACTAATGAAGCCACTGGTAGTACTAGTAGATATCAGCCTGTAGTCTTGAACAAGCGCCTCGATGACGAGTGAACAGTTTTCAAAAACAAAAGACCCAGGTGTGGTAGTTCAACTACTGTTGATGCGTGCCGCAACGACCAAACCTAATTGCTCCTCAAGGTCACAAAACAATAACCGGTACTGACGGCTAGGCTCGTCTTAATCATATAAGTAGCGCGTTTCCACCCCCTGATTGAGGGAGTCGTCTGTTGTATTCATGCGACTCCTACTTGACGAAAACGAGGCGCGATACCCGGATGACAGGTAGGCTTACAGAATTTGTGGTAGGGTATGATACTCTTTTATGCGATCTGACACACACCTTGAAAACGGGTAGTGTGGTCAGATATACCGGTTTATTCTGGACCCGTAGGTGCCGAGTCTGGTAGTTGGGAAGGCCTGTTACATTTTCTGTCAGTTTTGAGGGGAGATATTGATAACATCAAATTTGACTGCTGCACGCCTGCTCTTAATTACAGCAAGGAGTTATAACTCCTTGATTACAGGACTTGAAAGTAGATTTGTGGTAATAAGATTCTTAGATAAGGACCTCAGATCAGTTAGATAAGAATATCAGCACCAGATTTGCATATATTAATCCTTGGTTGAGCAGGATATGCAAGAATATGTGTTTACAAACAAATTATCATCTTGCTGGGGTTTTCCATGCCCAAAGTATTAATTGTGCTGCAAAATATCACCCCCGATTTGAAAGTCAATTTGTCATACTAGTATGCCAAGCAGTGGAAGAGTATTATTTGTACTATATTCATGAACTCTGCCAGATTGAAAGTTAAAAGATAAACAATATTACTTGGTACTAGTAAGTGGTATTGGGAAAGATGACCAAGTTGAAAACAGTCTGTTAATTGGATGCAAAGCTCATCAATATGTATATAAAGCCACCATATTTTCTGCACAAATCAATAACACACTTCCCCAGATAAATTCATCTTGTATCTATAGCTAGTACAATATTCCTTGAGTCAAATATCAGAAATGAACAAGAGAGGAAGGCAGACCTGAGTTTTGTCACTGACAGATCCCTTTCTTAATATTTATTGATCTTCTCTCTCTATTTCAAAACAAGGGCTTCTTGGGATTGTTTCCATTCAATGCAAGATTGCAGTTGTTTAGATTTTAATCCCTGAAAAGATCAATTTGAACTTCAGTACAGGCTTCACTGAGTCAAAGAAAAGAGACATACAGTTTATGTCCCCTATCCACCCCCCCCCCCCCCCCCTCTGATATCAGGGGGCTGGGGGCTTTCAACATTCCCTTTGTAACAGACTATATACTAGCGCACCCTGTGGTCAGAGAGTACATCTTCCCCCGTTTGACCTTTGCACTCCTCAAATTACAACTTGAATGACAAATACCAGGTATGACAAATGAAATATGTGAACCTTCACAGCAGTATTCACCCAGAGATGTGATGCAATCTGTGAAATGTAGGGGCTTTATAACAGATCAGTGACCTAAGTACAGGGTCATGTTCATGGTGTATTATAATAACATATGGGTTTTGGCATTATTATATAGTACCTGCATAATGCACGATTTAAACAACTTCTCTTTTCCATAAACATTTTTTGACTGAATATATACCTATTGTGAATTTTTCATACCAACATAAAATTTGTAGGAATTATTAATTTCTTTCAGAAAGTCTCATATGTTAATTAGGCCAATCAGAAACCTGGACATAGTTGAGTTTATCAGGTTTACTTTCAAAAACATAAAGACATAGGGCACTTGAATGAGATGAAAGTTAAACATCTTAGACAGATCCGAACCCCTTGAAACAGTTTGTCTGGACTAGAGCACAAATATGCCTGTATGTATTTTTGCACAGAAAAAAAATGTAGTTTTGTAAATTTTTGCCCTTTATCACTTTATACTCACCCATACAGGTATGGGAGGTATAATTTAGTTAGCAAATGATCAGTTTCTATACTGAAGCACAGCAGCAGGTAATGATCAAAGTAAATACAGCCCAGGTTCAGCAGGATGAAGAAATAGGCCTGAGCATAGCGGCTCCTCAATCTAATCCTGGTGCCTGTTATTTGTACACCTAATTCCCTTCTTGCTTCACCCAGGTATGTCATTATATAGGTGTATTCAGACAGTGTGCTGCCTACCTCTTTACACCTTTGACTCTTCTTGGCAAGGGCTCATTATCCCTGAGGCCAGTGCTTCATGTAAAGAACTTTGGCTCAAAATTGGTCTTAACCTTTAGACCAAAACTTAAGTCTACTGTGATTCCAAGGTAAAATACTTAGTTAATTTCAGGAGACTACTAGGGATTAACCCTGAACAGAATAGTTCCAAAATTTTGATCTAAAAGTTTAGACTTATTGTTGGGTTCAAGGTCTTTTATGAGACCAGCCCTTGGCTGTCAACTTGTCCTGCTAAATACAATAAATAACTTCTGCCATAGAGAACTAGAACAGTTAAATACCCCTTTTCTCCACTTTTGCACCTTTGCTAGGGATAAGCAGGGGATTTATTATTCAGTGTGAGATTATCTGGTATTAAATGTGTGTAAAACTACCAGGCAATTGTAACAGGGTTTAAATGAATAGAAAAGTGATCAAGTGTCTCTCAGTTGCATGTACCTGTGGAAAGAGTCCTGGAATAGTCCGACTCAGAAGTAGCATTAGTTTCAGAACTTTGAAAGGCAAATCTTCAGGGGGAACAAACACTTCATTATTTTTAATTATTAAATTTAGCACAGAACAGAGACAGAGATATTAGGCCAGAAGGCCGACTCCACTTGCAGTGTGACTGATCCTGCTTGTTCCACACCTATTGCTGGCCACCCTAATTAACCCCCAAAGTTTTGATAGGAGTAAGGAGCAATCTGTTCTTACCTCAACTATTGCATAAAACCAACAATTGACGCTATTGTTAGATATGGCTGGATCCCCACTTGAATGTACGTAAACAGTCAAGATTCCCAATATATTCAATAGTTGATGAAGTATCCACCAGGTAAAGCTACTAGTACTTTGTGCCTTTCATGTGTAGTGACTTTATCAATAAGTTGTCTCTTTTCCAATTTAAACAATACAGCTATAAAAGTTATTGTTCTCAAGAAGCGACACCTTTGATCATGATCCTTGTTAAAATTAAAACTTTTCATGTTTGTCAGTTATCTGTAAATTTGACTTTATTAGAAGTGTCTGTCAAGAACATAGAAATGCACCAGGGGCATTGACTGCATTACATCATGCTGGGTCTGCTAAAGGTAGGCAAATAATCAACAAAAAGTGTACATGATTACATTACTTGCATCCATTATCTCTTCCCATAATATTCAATTACCTTTGTTCTTTTTATATTTATATTTCAGATCTCAAGTGTTGTTTGTGTGAAGTTAGCGTAGAAAATGCTGAGTGGTTTGTCCAACCTTATCTTTGGTGCTGGCCCCGAGGAGGCGCCACACGAGGCAGTTGATCTCAAGACAACCCTCGCAGAAAATGAATGGGTGCTAGTGGACAGGACAAGTATGACTTGATTCTATCTCTTCAAATGTCCTATTTAATTTGTCAAAGATTTTCTTTATTGTTTAATTTTGATTTTTGGGAAATTGATAAATTTTAATTAAAATAGTCTCTTGAGTAATTTGTATAAAACAGTAAGCACTTATAACATAAAAATAATTTCTGTTTAACTTGAGAAGTTAAAGTAATATGATTCAATTAAATATGTTGTACATAACATTTTCAGTTATTTTCCTAATAGTATATTAAACATGTCATTATGTTTTTTGCCACATGCTTTTGAATCACTAATTTAGTAAATGCTTCTGCTTTCTATCCTTTCATTTCCTCTCGCTGCTGCTTTCCCAAGGGGCTAGATGATTTGGTTTATATACAGATTATATGAGAGCTTGATTATTGTATTTCTTCAAATATCTATCCCCCCCCCCACAAAAAAAAAAAACAAAAAAAAAACACAATACAAAAACATTACAGACCACTGTTACAAACTCTTCAACATATACATTGTCAGAAAGCATTAATATGATCACACATAATCCATGCACAGGAGGAAGAGAGGATGACACTACTGCAAAAGTTGGCAGCTATATACCAATTATAACATATATGATAATATAAGGAATGAAGCTTGATATTATAATAATGGCACTATAAAAGTGGGGTTTAAAGTCAGCAACCATGGATAGATACAAGGAATGTGTAATTTCCTGTGGGGTTATCAATATATGTATGAAGTGTAGCTTATTAACCCCCCCCCCTTTGCTTGGTAATAAATCTACATAGGAGTATTAGTATGGATTAAAACCAAATGAAGGATATTATAGAAATCCCTAGTCCCATATACACCATAGCTAATCAAACACTGAGGATTTCTGCAGACATTTTGACCCCTGTCACTTGGTGAACATAGTATTGTTTCATCTGCAGCTCATAACACCTGTATACACAGGTGAGACAGGTGGGTCACTTAATCTCCACACATGAGGCAATTTAAGCAACAGATGCTAACGCTGACCCCTTCTGTAGATTGAGTCAATATAGCTTCTCATTCATATATATATTATGATAAGACACCTTCATATATATATATATATGTCATTAGGAAAACTTTTTGCTAATGTCATGCTGGTAGCATGTTCATTTTCACAAACATGCAACAAAATTTTGCTCTGGCTACGATGAAAATGAGATAGAAGCTACATTTCTGCCACAGTGTGTTTCTTTCGGGTTAAATTTTTTGGGGGGCTAAAAGTTTTCTGTGTGAAGTAATGCAATCAAATCTCCATATGCTACATATATGTTAACACCGTATTGATAAACCACTCTACAGTGTATACAGGTGAATGTTTTATGTACAGGTGTGATAGCTGCCCTCGCACACCTGTCTCCAGGGACCTGTTTCACTAGATGACTTGAGACTGAAAGTTGGTCTTAAGTGAAGATAAACCAGCATGTATATAGTACATGTAGTACTCAGTCCTATAAAATGAAATATAGTAACTCAAAGAAAGACACTGCTGATGCTTTAGATCAATACCTTATTCATATTGACTACTTTGGATTTAATTTGGACTGAAGTAAAACCATGTTTTGATCTGAAAGTGTAGACCATTTTTTTCAGTCTTTAGTTGTTTTGTGTAACCAGCCCCAGCTCTGTAGACATGCAGCAGCTGTCTGGCATCTTGTCAGTTGACTTTGGAGTCAGCTTAGAATGATTAAGATACACTTTATTGGCAAGCACTACTCTGACAAAATACAATGTTGGTCTTTTGTCTAGCAATTAATTTTCCTTTAATGTCCAGCGTCACCCATTTTCAAATTGAACTTTTCCAGCCAAAAAGGCAGTTCTTTCTTATCTCACCCCCCCCCCTCCTTCTCTGTCCCACCTATGGGTGTGGTCTGCCATAATAGAATAAGATCTTGAACTTGTATATATAACTACATAATTAAGTCCCTGAGACTGCCAGACGTTATAATCTACTGTCTTACAAAATAACCCTCTTATACCTGTGACATTACACAAGGCACACAACAGCTGCCACAGCCTATGTCAGGTATGATCAGGTATGGCTCTAGCTCAAGGATCAGCCGCCAATTGTCATTAAATAGGTAAAAGTGTCACTTTTACAATAATTTATAGCACGTTAAGACAGACATCTACTAATAACCTCTCAACAGGACATTTTTTCACCATTCTAGGTGAATAAAAACTACATATTAACTGGATCTCATAGCACACTGAGGGATAAAACTACATTGTATGTGGTCATCTCTCATATTCTTAAGTCTGAATATATATCTTTTGCCAAAAGCATTATCTACTTTACACATGTATTAATTAATGTCTTAGTCTCATGCAGTTGATTTGAGATTTAGCAATATTTAAAAAAATGACAAAAGTCAAACAAGGAAAAATTATTAGTCTTGAATAATTATTTTAAAAGCCTTTGAATATAATCAATGAAAAATGTAAAGAAAAATGATTTACAAGGCAAACAAAAAGATGTGTCACAACTGTAAATTATATCTTCTAAATATTTAATCTGGGGTGCCCATCTTTTTTATTTCCCTCTATCCTCTGTGCTTTCCTTGGTGTTGGTCTATCTGTGTAGAGGATGGTGAGCTAGGAAGGTATCTTATCATAATTTATAATATTCTATTTCAGATACTAGTTCCACCACTACTACTACTACTTCTTCATCAAGCACGCTAACTTGTACGGCACGTGTCGAATCTCAAACCCCTCCTCCATTCTCTCCATCTCAAGTGCCATTACCATCACAAACTGACAATGTCCCACATATAATAAAACAACGCGACCATTCCAATAGCTCTAGGGACTCCCAGGGGTCCCGGGGGTCTTCTGGCCATGTCCAACCAGATCATCAGTCCCCTTGGGATAGCTGGCTAGTGACTCCACCCCCTTGTTTCACTGCAGGAAGCAGCAGGCTGGAGACGGGGCCCATGGAGAATCTACTCATAGAGCACCCCAGTATGTCTGTGTATGGGCCGCGGCCACGAGGGTCGAGCACAGGTGCTGACGATTCTCTGGATTCTGAGTCTTCCACTGAAAATGAGCAAAATAGACCAGTCATCCACAGACCTCCGCACAGGCCACGTGCTGTGGCTGCACGAGCAGGCCTTGTTGCAGCGCAGGCGCAGGCCGTGAAATCTATGCAAAGGAGCCACCATCAGGTCACTACTCGCAATTTGAGGAAGAAACAGCTCACACGTGCTAACCAGGTGCACGAACGTTTCTCCAACGCTAAAGCACTGCATCAGAGGAAAATCAAACAGCCTGGCACCAGGAAACAACAGCACTAAAAGATTTTAACTTGAATATCACTTTACGTGATCTACAGAAGGACTGATACATTCAATCATAATAGCTGGACAGAAAAATAGCAGGAAAAATAAAGAAAGCAGTTTGTGTCATTATTTTATCATCAAGAACCTGCTTAGTATGTGCAATTGTTTATGACAAGGGAATTCTCTCTGAAACCATGTATTTTGTTCAATCCATCCTGTCATCAGAAGGCTATTTTTACCTAGCATCAATTTGTCACATACTCACAGGGGAAAAGAACACAACATGTCACCACTTCTGTAGATCAATGATTGTACTATTGTGCACATAATTGATCACTGGATACCAGCATTAATCAGTTGAAGGGAAAAGAAATAGAACCGGAATTTAAAAACCAATTTTTGACCGACTTGCCTGTTAGAGTACATGTCCAGCAGTTATGAATTGTACATTCATTTGGACCTTGACCGACCCTGGACGAGTTCACAGATTACTGGACATGACCATTGCCAAGAACTTTGTTATTTATTGTTTATCTTATACATAAGAGTATATATAGGTATTGGATTTAGGAGATGTCATGTTGAAGTCACAGTTGCAGTAATGTTGTATATGTAGATGTATTAAATGATAGGAATATGTCCAATTAGCATACTGTCAGTGCTGTTATACTGCGTATGCTGCAAATTTTAGAATACCTGTGATGTCACAATCTGAGTGATGTCACAGTGGTGTTAGTATCAATGTTCATGATGTCACAGTGTTCAAGACATGATGTCACAACTGGTGTGACAAGTGAAATGTCTACGTACTTGTCACAATTACACAGGCTGCTGCTGACAAAAACAATTCGATTACTTCGTGAAAAGATACAATTTCTTCTAACAGCCTATCAGACCAGTTCAATGTGAAATGTCACATAAATGTCAAATGTCACACTAATGTCTAACATCACACAAGTATGGCACAATGGCACTTGTTCTGCAGCAAACATTTTGCTACATAAATGACGAGTCGTGCAAGGTCTCGTCACAGAGAGAGGACACAGGGACACATCATGTCACACTGACAGTGACAGGGTATTTACGCCTCAGACAACTCTGTCCACAACTAATGTCAAAGCTGGATGCATGTTTACAAATTTACATTCAGGATGGTTATCTATAGTAACTAAGCATATTAAGTCACAGCTCAGGGAAAAGAAAGCAGGTGGAAGTTGGAAAACAAATGTCTGCCGCAATAATGTCTTAATCCATCCATCACAATCAGTCACAGTTGTTATGCTGTTACACACGAGATGAAGCCATATTTTCAATACAAGGCCTTGTAATAAGACAGATAACATGAACATGACAACATGTGGCAAGACTGGTTCTTGCTTCATGATGTTACCATCACTGCTATTTATGTCATACTGGTTCCCTTTCTCTAGTTGTCTCTATTTACTCCCCTTGTACAAAATTATGTTGTGGGCTCAATTGTCTGTTATACACGTCCTGAATATTCTCTGCACAACTCGAGACATCATTTTCACTAATATGAGACATTAACATGAATCTCAGTTTACCCGTTTATGATGTTTACCGGCTTATTCCATACAATGCACTATTATGTACATGATTTATTCTTGGCCTTGGATTTTAGTCAGGGACAGCTTGACATAGATCCAAGTTCAAAGATAGGCTGCCATATAGTTTACATATCAAGAGGTGTAAAGACCTTAAGACACTTTATGGGAATATGTGACAAGTTATGTGATATTTTGCAAGAAACAGTTTTGAATCAAAATTTTAATTGCAATGAGTCAGTTATCACAGCAGCATGCCCATATATATATATATAAAAAGTTCACCATCTGAATTTTTACATTTTATTTTAAGCATTTAGTCTGCATGCCATTTCAAGATGAAAACTTGAACTGTTGAACTGCTGGAATGGGCTGGGTGTTTTTATTTTTCATTTATTCAAATGTGTCTTTTGGAATTGTTTTTAAATGCTGAATGTTGACAGTTAGTTCCAATTTGAGTGTAATATTATACACATATTTACTGTGCTTTTATATACTTGTGGTTTACATGTTGGAGGTGGTTAGTCTAGGGTATATTTAATTACCACCTGTTTAAGGTTTTAAAGGTTGCTATATTTAAATTTACTGGTGGAAAATCCAGTTTGAAGGTGCACATTTGGCAATATCCTAATGAATTTACCACTTGCCTTGGTCTTATACTGAGGGTAATGCATGCTAGTATGTGATAGAGATTAGATGAAAAGTTACATTCATTGATGAACAAAAAAAAAAAAAAGCTTAAAACATACATGTTGGTGATTGAATTCTTGCACATGTCAGTATTTTTAAAAGGGCCATAAATTAATAAACAACACAAAAAATAACATTAATATGTATTACATATTTAAGTATAGTGTATTTGGTACATGTAGCTTACACTTGGTTCAATTAAATATAAACACAAAACAAACAAAACAACAAACTATTATACTCAGAGCACAAATGCATATTGGTTGAAGACAAGAATGCAACAATTACAATAATTTGTGCAAAACAACATATTACACATGGATTCTAGTACATGTAGATGGTCTTACTATGCAAATGATAACCAAGCTCTAAGGCATTGAAGAATTTTATAGAACATTTAAGAACAGTAGAATTTTCAATTTCTCTGACTGGTTTGTGAGTTCCATATTTAATCGTCTTGATCCATTATAGACAACTGGTGTGTTTGTATCACCATACATTGTACCAGTACCAACATGGCAGCAGTAGCAACTGTCAACTTGCAGCAGTGACAGGAACAGTAGCATGTGAACGACTGGACTTTCAATTTTTCTGTGTGAGAATGCTACAGTGTGAAGAAAACCCACCTCTGCCATTACTATATTATATCGTCATAACTATATCATTCAAAGGCAAGATACATGTATCCTTTTAAGACTGCCATCACGTATATGTCTGATTCATCCACATTATGCTGTATGAATGCTGCGGGTATGTTTTATTGAAATTTGCATTGTGTTCCTAGGCAGAGAGAGTACTCAATAAACTGTTGTGAGTTTGAAATCAATTTTATCTGTGTTTGTCATCCATTACCTTGATCTGTGCATTAAAATGATTCCTGGCAGAGACCTGATGATCCACTTCAAGTGGCTCAGACGGAAGTTTATTTCCAATAACTAATATCATGTATATGTCCAAAGTTAAACATTGCTATTATTAAGCAAATTGCTTTTACAGCTGAAAAAGTCCAAATATAAAAAACTTGGATCAAACTTGAATTTTATGTCCATGCTCACTGATGTTACAGAATTGATGGGAAGACCCAGAAACGTTTTGGAAAAAGCAAATTGAAACTGATCTTTTTCCATTAAGGCTGACAACAAAGGTTTTCTGACATTTGCCTACCGTTTTCCTGAAGACTAAAAAATGACAGCAGTGGGATTTCTGTAGGATGCTCAAAGAGCGTTGAGGTCTGCTCCTAATTTTCAGTTGTCACGAATTCAACTTATTTATTTGCAGCCTCTGTGACCATATTCTACCATGATAAGTCCATAATGGAATGGTAGAGTTATATCAGATAACACACACAGGCTCTGTAGATCTTGTGAAAAAAAAACAAAAAACGAAGAATATTTTTTGTCTAAATAAAAAATATTAACTATAACATGATTTCAAATACATAACCTGGTTTATGAAATATATGGAAAATCCCATTTAGAAAATTCAAGGTAATATATAAATCATATTATAATAAAACTCTGCTATAAATATTTCAACTAATAAAAAAGTCTAGTACATAACATATGTTCTCATATAATCTTATGAATGTACAACAGCAGGGAAATTAAAATTCCACCTTTTCAAAAGTGCTTTTAACCAGCATGTTACCATAAGTTTCTGAAAATTCAACCCAGTTCATAACTTTCAGTCTTTGGTACCATTTATAAAGTTGACATTGGCTAGTTGTCGCCAACCTGCCTTTTTCTATGACGAAGAATTAGACTAGGTCCCCATACCTAGATTGATCTGACAGGATCTATCCATCTCCAAGGGGTTTCTCACTAAATTGCTTTCAGTTTAAGTGACTTAGATGTCTGGCACCCCTACCGAGTCAGCTAGACGATAATGAATTACCCCCTAGCAGCTTCAGTAGGTGTGACAGACATCTAAGTCACTTAAGTTGATTGCAATTTAGCCAGAATCCCCTCGGAGATAGATCGAGGTCTGGGAATGGCCTCTTAAAAATGCAAATCAATCTTCTTTTAAATATTTATCTAGATTTTGCTAATTAGGACAAAATACTTTGAATTTTTTCCACTTGGCACTATCACATGTGGACATATTCAAATAACTATGATGTATAAGGTAAGCTCTGCCTTTGTACAGTGAACTGAAACTATCTTAGCTTTATGATGTGTTGCTACATGCAAACATGACTAGACAATACCTTAAAATGCACAAACATGCAAACCAACATGCTGTGCCCCCACTGGAACAATTACAATCAGTCCAGCCACATATTTCAAGCTATACAGTAGAACTAAAGATCTTCATTACTTGCCTCTGCAATAGTGGTGATGCATGATCTTATACACACATGTGAATATATATATTTCTTCTGAATGTTGCCTGCTTTATTTACATCTAGATGTATATAATTTCAACAGCTTTAAAACTTTACAAGTTGTCAACTCACAAGAATTATGTCTATGGTGTCTGTATTTTAAGCTTAACCTTCTCCATAAATTTTGCCACTCTTGTTGGGTCAATCTCATTACTCCAGTGTCCACCACATTTAAAGTACGATCCTATGATGAATGCATTGGCACTGGCATACTGTTCCACATTATCCACTGTAACCCCTGAGCCGATCAAAACTGGGATTTTCACTGCTTTTTGCACATCTGAAAAACAAACAAATCCACATACATATAAATATGTGCATAATACATTATGAGTTTTTAAATGTGCATCTGGGCTCTATACAATCAAAATTAATGATCAAGTAAGCTTAGCTCTTTGCACATTGATAACTAATAAGCTGTAATGGCAAGATCACATTTTTAAAAGGATAAAAATATTTTCTTTACTCACTTCCATATAGGAATGCAAAATATTTGAGTAAGTGCTCCAACTTTAAAATGTAAATCTCATTTCCCTCACAAAGCTTGAACTACGAATATGATATTAAAATAAAAAAAGGTTTTACACTTGACTTAGATTTGCAGATTATTGAATGTTCTCTCCACTACATAATCCCTCTTTAATCCAGATAAAAATTGATTGGGCTGACCACTTAAATATGGGACAATAGATAGGATAATGGGGGGGGGGAGGGGGGGGAGGGGGGGGGAGGTGGAGAGACTATTAAAAGATTAGGCGGTTTTCCTTTCAGGTACGTCCGCTATATTTAGTTTGTGGCTTTGTAGAGCAAGGGCTCAACTCGATGTGAATGTGGTCTAAGTAATCCTTGACCAAGTGATGGAGGGGCCTGTGAAACTCAGCTAGACTTTTTTATGTAGAAAGTAACAACACAAGAACTCTAAAACTTTAGTTTCATGGTCACCTTTGAACTCCTGTAGGTCAGCTGAGGCACCGGTCACTGCACCAGTCACTATCACGCCATCACTGAGGAAGAATTCTGCCGCCTTGGCCGTCTCTGCTATACTGATGTCACTGGTGATAGAGTGAGAACTAAAAAAAGTGAAAAAATAAAGTCAATTTTTTTTCAAGTCAAAATAGTGTATTCCATAATTAACTGATAAAAGCGAATAAAAATAAGCAAACAATACATGATAATCTTTTAACAGAACAAATTAATTTTTTTACTTTTGCAAACTTTTTATGGACTGTTCATGAACTTCTGTGGTCAATCTTTTGAGATGTTTAATTTAGGAAATTGTGGTAATGTGTGGTCATATATAGATTAAAGAGAGATACACTGTAGCATATAACTTATTTCTTGAACCGACAACCTTTACAAAAGAGGGAAATACATGTAGAAAAGACAGTAGAACAGATCTGTTCGGGCTTCAATTGATTATTCTACATGCAGACATGCCCAACAGAGCAACCCCCCCCCCCCCCCCCACACACACACACACATACTGCTCAAGCTCCTCTACGAAAACTGAACAATATCCAAAATGTCAATTATTTTTTGTGCATGATTTTAACCTTACCTGTGTTTCTTCTTGATGTCAGTGAACACCTGAATGTGGCTGGCACCAATTTGCTTACGATATCGTAACAGCTCTGCTGCACATGCATTCATAAGCCCTTCATCAGCAACATGAGAAAACACAAATCCTTCAGCACGAATGAATTGCAGGCCTAGATGAAAGCAAAATACATAAAAGACAGTTATCAAAACCTTGAACATACAAAAACAATGTACTGATCATTATGATTATGTAATGATTCAGTTGAGGGATCCATACTGGTACATTTGTCTATATAAGAATGAGTTATTAATTTATGTTAAGCTTTTAAAATCCAAACTAATTTTTCCAAAGCTGTTATTATTACAATTCTCATATCATATCTAGAATGACAAATACAGAAAGGTTCCAAAATTATTTTCAAAATTCTTGCAACACCTTAAAGAAAAAAAGTGTCAATTAACTTATCAAAGAATAAGTTATGATATTTAGAATAATACTTTAAAAGAAAAAAAAACTGAATTAGATGACAGCCCACCACTAGAGAGCGCCACTGCAATTGCCTGCTTATTTGCTCCTGCGAGCACCTGTACTCCTACTGGCATGCTCCCACACACTTCCTTAACATGTGAACACACAACAGACATGCTTGCTGTTATCTCATGACCGACCCCTGTTGAGTGAACATATGGCACATCATGCATGTTTTCTACCATCACAGCATCCTAAAACAAACCAGAAATCAAACTGCATATCAAAAAGAAAGTTTACAGGATTTTTAGAGGTGAAATGTCCCCTTTTACTGTTACAAGCATGTTACACCCTTCTGAATTAATTAATTATATTATTACCACCTCATTTTAACAAAAACTCAATATATGGCTTATGCAAATAAAAATTTATTTGGCTTGAGCCAAGTGAAGAAAAAAATGGTTTCAAAATGTATTTATAATTTATTTCACAGGACATTTGGAGTTTCAGGTCATAATCATTATCTGGATATTGACCATGACTGTTCAGCAACAGAAAATTTCTTTAAAAATATCTTCTTTTCAGTATATAGTAAATTTACAAAATAGTCTTAAAATTAACAAATGTAAAAACTACCTTCTTTCCAGTGCAAACGTTAAATTTTTCCTTGTTTAAAAAACTCAAGCCATTAATAATAATAATAATAATAATAATAATAATAATAATAATCAATCAATCAATCAATCAATCAATCAATCAATCAATCAATCAATCAATCAATCAATCAATCAGTCAGTCAGTCAGTCAGTCAATCAATCAATCAATCAATCAATCAATCCGATAAAAAAAAAAAAAAACTTACCACACCTGCATCTTTGTAAATTTTGGCTTCTTTACATGCAACTTCAATGATTTCCTGCATAGAAAGAGTGACTGCCGGAGTTCCTACATTATGATGATGATAAAACATGTCCACCAATCATGAATGTACATTATTATAATTAATTATATTGTTATACTAGTAAATACATGTACCCGGTACTGTAAATTATAAAATATTTAAATAATATTTTTCTGGTAATATTAAAAATGGCACATTAGAGGAGGCAGCGATGGAACATTAGTGGTGAGGATGCAACAGAATTGCTTATGATGACAATGGATAATATCAGAAATAGCACCATCCATTTGCCGGCACATACTAGTATCGTTTATTTTTAATCAAATGCATACCACCGCTAAATAATATGGCATACCTGGCAAAGCACGTAAATGCACCATCCCTATGACAACGCCTCTGAGCCGCCCGAATGTACTGCTAAATGCATTCATGTTGTCATCAAAATTATTGGCAAGGAAACAAACAGATTACATATTTCTGTAAAGCACGTCAACTCACATCATGGCAACATGTGTGAATGTTGATTTCATATGACCTTTACCCCTCCCCCGCGAGCACGACTTTTCATCCAATCAGGGTGCGTTTTGAGCTTTTCACTTCCCAGGATGCATTGCACACCATGGATTCTTTCGCGGGGCTTTTTCCTCAAACTTTCGCGGTTTTTGGCTTAAAATTAGATAATATTTATACCGCTTAATATACATACTCATCTAAGTTGCAGAACTTTTTGTTACTTTTCAGGCTCATCGTTTTTTGTTTACGAAATACTTCTTTTAAAGTTGCAAACGACCCAAACCGAAACTTGCCAACTCGCAGACTACATTTCTAGGATAGGCCTCCAGTGTTTCTCACTTTAGAATATGAATAAATTGTATTTTCATTGTAAAGAGTCTCATATGATGGTGAGCTAAGTTTAAAAAGCACAAATATTTCATGATGTCAGTCCAACAAAATATTTTATTGTAAATTAAAGCGATTTCATTGTCCGTCTGCTCATCCTATTCATGACCAAGACATCGCTTTGTTTACATCGAGGAAAGTGACCCAAAAGTTTTTTAACACTAACAAATGCTGAGGAAATGTTCCAAACACGTTTATTCAATATCTAAGTCACTGGGAAAATAATTTCTGTGAATTTATTTTGATTATTTACCGATCTTCTCCCGCCATAATCGTGCATGCGCAAGAACAGCTGCGTACGTCCACTTGGCGGGACCGAGACTTGGCAGGCAGGCCCAGGTACGGGAGTAGCTCCTAAATTTTTTTTGCGCAAATTGTTAAATCTTACTTTAACTTTTGGCTAATTCACGCAGAAATGAAAGACTAATGTCCATATTGTGTAATTATGCCAAAAAATCCAAGGTTGCAAGTGACGATCGTACTTTTACAGAACTTTAAAAGTGGCCAAATATTGTTTGACCTACTTCGGACTCCATTGTTGCCTCTAGTGGGTGGATGGCGGAAAATATTTCATCTTTGTTAAGTGATTGCAGAGTTTTATCCAGCGCGTAATGTAATATTTTGGGGTTATTTGCATCAAATACGCATTCTATTTTCAGATACCTCTTGAAGTTTGGAAGATCATGTCTAGAAGGAGGTGAGTTTTGCAACGAAGTAACTTCATGTTTTTCCCCGCCATCGGATCTGTTAATGAACTTGGACTAAATTAGTACCATGTATTTAGTCAGTGAAAATTGTGTAAAAATTTAGATCATGTAGATATAGCAGTAAAAAGATGAACTCTTATGGGTAGGGAGCATATTAAGGAAAATGTTAATGAAGTGTTTATTTATTAATTAGTTTAATTAGCTGTTGAGTGTGGAGTATGGTTCAATCATGAAAGTTTTGAAAGTCTATACAGCAACAAGCTAGTTTGTTCTTATGTGTCTCAGAAACTGAATTTAGTCCGTTTTTATTGCACTTGTTCGTTTTCTACAATGTAATGTTTGCAGTAGCTCATACTGTGTCATTTGATTTGGTTTTACTTTTAATTTAAAATGCAACAGGCCATGTACTGTAAAGGCTTCATCAGGATGTCATAACAATAGTTTATAGTTGAAGCCAAGTTTTTTAAGGTTTCACTTTCTCTCCTTTCAAAATCCTTTGACAATTAGTGGAAGCAAACATTGAAATGTTTTCAAGTAATTAAAAAAATATAACTGCAATTTCTGCCACATTTGAGGAGTCATTTACAGTACATGCTGATTAAAAAAAAAAAAACAGCTGATATTTTGAGTCATCTAAGTAAGTGTAGCAGGGCTAAATTATGGGAGACGGGAAAGTGATGTCATGTAAAAAAGATCAATGCCTTTTTACAGTGTGTGGTATCAACCCCTAGCCTTCTCAGTCAGCATATGGTATGTGTAAATGAAGTTTGGCATCATAATTCTGTGTATTATTATAGATATAAACTGGCTTATAGATTGAGGATTATGCTGGGCAGCATTCTGTGCACACAAACTTGTGAAAATGAGATCAAAATTGATCTGCATGTGTTTCTTATAGATGTTTCAATGTTCAGTTGTTAATATGAACATTCTTTGATATTTTGTTTGTTATTTTGGGTGTGGGAGTAAATGATTGTATGCATAAGAAAAAAAACAAATAATGAATGTGTGGTATCTACTAGGTTGTTGATACCAATTACGGCATTTACTGGTGCAGATAACTGCTGACGTGATCATGAGTTAATTATAAGGTCATGTTGTTTCATTCAAGGAAAAATAAGAAAAAAACATACTTCTTTTATTTTCATTCATCTTGCATTAGCCAGGCCTGTCAGTAAAACAGGCATTTACTAGTAAAAGGGGAAAAAATTACAAGTACATCTTACAAACAGGTGATGAGATTCTAATGGGAGTTGATTAATCTGGAAAAAAATGATGAATGAGAATTTCGTTATTATAAGTAAAAAATGGTGATAATGTCCGAGTTGGTCGTATTCAATCCTGAAGGCACTATGCCGGATAAGATGCCCTGTTTGTTATTGAATGTGACTGTTTTAAAGCTTTATTTGCAATATTTTCAGTGATGGAAGCAATGGAAAATTTATGTCTAATCTCATTGGAGAAAAAAAACAACATATCAGTTCAGTTTTATATAAAAATGCCACATCAAATATTTGACTATTCAAATGATAAAAAATATTCAAAAATATTTTGGAGATTATATATCTTCTCTATTAAAATGGCATCTATTTAAATGTTATTTACTACTGGTTGCAGTATTCGCTTACTGAGGAATAGAAAAACGAAAGAAGTCCCCGAAGAAAAGGAAATCTTCGGACAGAAGAGGAAAGTGGAAGAGGTGGATGAGGTAAATGCAGTTGGGTTGAAATAAGAGTCATACCTTAGATTATAAAAGTATTTAAAAAAATTTCTAAAATATTTTTGTTATCACCAGTCAGCTACGCCTTTTTTTCCTTTTTTTTTTATTAAATGGTTATTTACATAGCTATTTATGTCTTGAAGTTAAACAATTTGAAATAAATGGAATTTAACCTATTTATATGATAACTAATTCCTTTGTATAACTGCAACCTCTTAGTTGCTTTGATTTTAGTAAACATAATTATTATTTATGTATGAAATGATGGTTTTCCAGGACTCTGACAGAGAAATGCAGGTGAACAAAAGAAGGCAACAGTTTCAAATACAGGTAAAAGAAAACTGCTCCAAACTTCTTGGGCTTTTCTTATCATATTAACTACATACAGATGAACCATAATTAAATTGCTTGTGGACAAAAAATTGATTCAAATATCAAAAATATATCTTTTTTATGGAAATTTTTCTGGAAAATGCTTACAAGATACACAGATACATTTTGTGCAAGCACATTTGTATTTAGTTTGGCCCAAAATGTTTTTTATTCATGTTTTATATTTTTTATATCTGAATAATTTTGATCAGTGATGATTCATATTGAAACTTTGAACCAAATCAAGTCAAAACCAGAGAAAAAATTGGAACAAATTTTGCATTTTCTTCGTCAGTTTAGAATATGAAGCATTTGAGTCGAATTTTATTTGTTTCTGATCGTCATCATCATCATCATACAGTTCACTTAATAAAATTTTCAACAAAATATGCAAATGAAGGTAGCCCCCCCCCCTTCCCTCTTTTTTTAATGATCTGAGGCACTACAGTATTATGCTTGGGTATTTTTCTTCTCATGATCACAGAGTTTACCTGCATTGTCTGACTATTATAGCAATTAAGTACTTAAAAGATATAAGTGATATCAAGTCACAGTGACAGGTACAATTAGCAGAATGTAAGCTGTTCTTGTAATTTCAATTTGCACTTTACTATGGAAGGTTGTTTGTCTAAACGTTAGTTGTATCAGTTCAAAAGTGCAATATCAGTCGTGTTACTTATTTAATGTTATCTCAATAAGCAATGCCTACAACCATGTATGTGTACCTTGAAACCAACCTACCTCAAATATGGACCTAATCTGACGTTTTAGATAAATTACAACTGGTAAAAAATTAATTGTAGCATTCACTCCCCTTCTTAGCATCAAGGAAATTACTACTTATCAAAATTATTAATAGTTCTCTGACCCCTCCTCCTCCTACTCCTGGGGTAAATCAGCTGTAGGGTTTAAAATGGGGGTTAGGGTGGAGAGGGAGGGGTTGATTACACTCAAAAGTGTGTCAAGATGAAGTGGAAATTATAACAATGATGGCCATGGTCTGTACTCCCCTGCATTAGTAAACAAACACAATGGGGGAAAGCCTCTGAGGTATTCCTCGGCAACTTGTAGAGAATTTGGCCTTATGGCTTAGTTTGCTGAAGTATTAATACACAGGTGTGAATAATAAGGGTATTGACAGTACAAACACCCCCTTGTTTTCAGGGTGAACTGTTTGCTTTGAAAGCCCCTTTGATTCCTGGCACACGAGGAAACTCCCCAAGGGTTATGAAATTATAGCCAAGATGATACTTTTCTTTGCCATTTAGCTGTTTGCTTTCATACTATTTTGAGTTGGTCTATGGCGGGAAACCCCCGAAAGGTAAATTTAGCAACTGGGTACAGTAATGGATTGATGTTATTCTTTCATTTGGGCAAAACTATAGGTTTTTATTGAAATGTTTGAATTTTGGTATACTTTGCTTATGATAATGAGTAAGAGTAAGTTGCCATTTAAGATCAGTTTTTCACTGAATGCAAAGAATGGAAGTCTCAATACCAGAAGTGTATCTGAGTTTTTTTTTTTTTTTTAAATCTTGAAAATTAGATAAAAAATTCAAACTTCAGGTATGTTAAGGCAAAATTTAGCTGTCTGTTTACAAGCCCCTCCCCCCCCCCCTTCACTCCAAATTATTTGAAATCCCCAAAGCTGCAGATGCCAGTTGGCCTAATAACACTAAAAGCAAGATCATTTTCTGACATGTCTTGTATTTGAGACAGCAGGTTTCCAGTAATACAAAATTTCCACAAAATATCAAAAGAAATTCTGAGAAAAGATGGAACATGTTCTCCCAATTGAACATGATGTTGTTCTACAATATAATGTCAACACTGCTTACATAACAATGAACAAGTCACACATTGATGCCTTCCTCTCCTACTAGAAATTAATTTCAAATGTCTACAAAAGCAGTAGGGGCTGGTGCAATTATTTTTACAAACAAATAATAATGCTTATTTAAAATTGATAACCTGAGACCCTGGTGAATTAATCTGTACTATTTCTGGTCCAAGTAAGGTTATTTTGAATCCCCCTTCCACATTAAATGACTCCAAGCTGTAGGAATCCAGTTAGCCCAGATTATTCTGTGTAAACAGAGCATACATAAGTGGTCAGTTGGGGTCATTCTGTGGAGAAGGAAATGCTTTGTAGCTGTGGTCAATCTGTTAATGACAAGAACAGTGGACAGGCAGCTGGGGTCACTCATGTGGACAGTGGTCACCTCTGTGTTGAGGCTGTGGTCAGTCTTCCTGTTCAGTTTAGTTCAGGACTTGGTTAGATATCACTAGTACTTTGCTGGGCAGAGAGGTCACCATAACAGGAATTTTGCAGTGTCTATTTGGATCAAGGATCACTTCAGATCCATGTTATGTTTAGGTTTTATGGATAGTTCATGACATTCTTTGTATTTTGAATTTGTACCTGGCTAATCAAAAATGAAGGAAATGAGCAACCAAGGACACGACAGAATGGAGTTGTCTTTCTCTGTAAGTTACTGAATTGTATTTTAAAATCATTTCTTAACAAAGCAATTTGTATATATATTAAAAAAAACTTTCTCCATGAGTAAACTCGTGAATGATAACCATCATTTAGGTGAAAACAATTTTAATTAACAACTTACGTTTATTTGATAATACCAATCTTTAAGATTAGTTCTTAAAAGCCATGTCATGAGACATGGGTCAGATAACCCCCTAAGACCTAGGGGCAAGAGTCTTTTTCATGGGTTAGAAGTTGAGCCTTGCCTAATTACAGGTGTCTTATGTGATGTAATTCTGTGTACAATAGAGAGGTGGACTTCTGATGGTATAGATAGGAAGGTGTTGAAAAGGTAATCATAGGAGTAATTTGCTATTGTCGGTGAGATTGCTGATAACCCTTGTCTTTGATGTTCATATATCGTCCATGTCCGTATCTTGGTTCTTTGAAACAAACAGCGTCATTATCAGAGTTGTTTTCCTGGACGAGCTCAGCAGTTGTCTCCATCATGGACAGACCTTTAAAGTAAAAGTATTGTCTTCTTTTTGTTACGTAATGTTTCCTAGGCCATGCTTCCACTGAAGTTGTGGTTTCTTACCTCAGGAAGCCAACTCTCTTTTGTTACTGGGCTTTTGTGACACTAGGTAAATTTCTTTTAAAAGTGAGATATCTTTAAAGATTGTGCTATCTGCTGTCATATAATGTTAGAGAATTGTAACAGGGTGACTGGACTGGGCTAGACTGGTCATGTGATAGTGTTCTTAATCTTTGCTTTGGTGTTGGAATGTGTCTGAGAACAGTCTCCCTGCCCCCACCCCCTGCTCTTCCCCCACCCAACATTGTGAACAAAGTAATTGGCATCAAGAGGTGCAAACATCTAATCTTTTAAACCATGCCAAAAGAGCAGTCAGACTATTTGAGTATAAAATGGCATGCCTATCAATAAACAGTTTTGATAGCCTGTAGACTATCAAATTTTCAATTCTATTTGAGCTTCTGCTGCAGTGAGGCGTGGCATACATAACAAAGTTGGATATAAGACCAGTGAATGGGTCATTGGGGAGAATAAAAGGCAGTGTTTTGATGGAGAACAAAACTTGAGGATTTTGGGTTTTGGATACAAAACAACTTAGGGGAAGAGGCTCAGTAACTTTGGTGTCATTTTCCCACAGGATATGTTATAAAACACAGGGCATGGGGAAAAAAAGGGTCTAGGAGTAAAGGCATTTGGTTTAATTACCGACCATAATGCATAGTTTTGTGTAAGAGAGCATATACATCGAGAAGAGTCGAGGTCTAGCAAGGCTGAGACCTGAATATGGCAGACCTACATGAAAGGAAGACCGCTTAATCCTTTAATAGTCTCTTAATGAATGTCATTGATATCCCCCAAATTAATACACCCCCCCCCCAACTTTGTGGGTGTGTGTGGAGGGAGCAAATTTATAGATAGAATGTGCTCTGCCTTGGTTGATTTCATGTTCAAGCTCTAGAGAATTTAGCATCTTGTAGCAGCGATGAATAGTTCTTGATTGCACAGCAGTTATAGTGATAAAACTAATTTTGTTCTTCACGTTTGTACAGTCACATAATTACCAGGATTTGTCAAGAGAACAACAAGCATTTCCTTCCTGCTTATTCAGGGTCTTTGAAGATGAACTAAATAATTGTGTATGAAAAAAAAATGGAATTGTACCATTTCCTGTGATTAAGATTCTAATTATGTTGTATGATTCACTTGATGAAATTTTTAAATAAAAAATAATACTATAGCTAAGAATCACATTTGTCATTTTGTAACTTATTCACCCATCTAGTTTCCAATATGATTTTCATTGTTGAGTTTGGTTTTGATAAAAGTTATAGTGAATTTATCAACAATCAGCTTTCATGATGAAGAATCTTACATCATACTTTATTTTATTATTTGCTGTTTTTCTTCAAATAATTACTTTTTAAAAAAATTCTTTATACTTTGAAAGAAGTTCTAAATATAACCTTCATCCTTTCAGAACCAATGGGTCCCCATCTCACAGGATACAAAAGTGATCACAAGCACCCTAGTCCCCACACGGCCCTCAGGACACCCCCTACAAGAAGGGGAAGGACACGAGAGATTAACCCCACCAGACCAGATGACAGGGGGCACAAGATGGAGGTTTCAGAATCTTTTCACAACACCAATGTCACTAAGGCCGTCTCCTTTACCTAAAATAAACTGGGCAGATCACGAGGATGTTTGGACAATTATGCTTAAAAAAGACTTGATTTATGCAAATTCTAGAAAGCATGATGCCTTGAATAGGCACCCAACTCTACAGTCCAAAATGAGAGCCATTTTACTAGATTGGTTAATAGAGGTGAGTTTGAGCTGTGTTTTCAGTGGAGAGCTCTAAGGTGAAAATTATTTTAATGCGCAGACATGTTTTAACATTAAAATGGATTCAATTAGCAGGATTTTGACCATGAACACTATTTTTTCTGTACCTGTCAAATTTTTCAGGTCTGTGAAGTTTAAGGTTTATGACAAGGAGAAGCTGTGAGCAATTAATTTAAGCCAAAGAAGTAGAAAATATTGTGATCATTTCTGCCAACTTATTCTTCAATGATTAAAGAAATATTGCTCAAGGGAAACTTTCACATATTATTGTTGAAAAGACCAAATGATATGATCTAGATTATTCAATTATTTTTAATTGTTAATGAATTGTTTATTTTCAGTTAATTGTTTAATATTTCAAAAACTATTTTCTTCAGGTTTGTGAAGTATATCGGCTACACAGAGAAACCTTCTACCTGTCTCTCGACTTCTTGGACAGATATCTCACAGTGCAAACAAATGTACAGAAACACCAGCTACAGCTACTAGGGATAACTTGTTTGTTCATAGCAGCAAAACTAGAGGTAGATTATTGTTATTATTATTATTGTTTGGTTTTCCATTAGAATTTTAGTCAAGTATATGTTAACTGAAACAAGATGATAAACATGGTGTAAGAAAAAGAGTAATGCAATTCGATGCTGTACCAAGATTTAATTATATATCAATAATAAGTGAATAATATTTTTCAAAATTAATTAAAACATTTCTCATTTATGTTGTTTTTTCGCTGTATAGATATGGGCATTATAGTAATACTGTGTACTATTCCAGGAAATCTACCCACCAAAATTGTCAGAGTTTGCCTATGTTACTGATGGTGCTTGTACAGAAAATCAAATTTTATGTATGGAATTAGTGGTTCTCAAGGTAAGCATTTTTGTGGCCCACTCAGAAAGTATTTAAATTCACTAGAATATTTATCTTCAGACCCATTTAGTTTATATAATTATGAATGTAAAAGCTCATTTTTACATTATAAATGACTGATATTGTGTTTAAGTTGAGTTTATTATTACCAGAAAAATAATTATAGGCTGTTTTTGAAAAACTAGTGCAAAGTAACAGTAACGATAATTAACAGTGTGTAAGTTTGGAAAAAATAATTTGACCCTGGGCATAAATGTGACTTTTGTGTTGAAAGTACATTCTAGACATTTGATTATCCGCATTTCAGGCCCTGAACTGGGATCTTGCCCCCATGACAGTCATCTCTTGGCTCAATGTGTACATGCAGCTCATTGACATCACAAACAGCAAGAAAGACTTCATCCTGCCACAATACTCAGCACACTACTTTGTGCAGATAGCCAGGGTAAGACTTACCAGATCATATTTATTTATTTCATATTTGTCCATGATGTATTGTGTAAACAGTGCAGCATCTCCTTTCACATCAGTTAACACATTTTGGTAACTTTCTACAATATTCATTTCTGTATTTCAGTAGCAAGATATGTTTATGCTGGATTCAGGGTGTCTACAATATTCATTTCTACGTTTCATTTGGTAGACCTGTATATGCTGGATACAAGTTGTATAGAATATTCATTTCTACATTTCAGTTGCCAGTTTTGTGTATGTTGGGTGTATAGAATATTCATTTTTACATTTCAGTTGTTAGATCTGTGTATGTTGGATACAGGGTGTCTACAATTCTCATACAGTGTCATAGCAGCCTCTGCTCTGTACCACATGTCATCAGATGCCATTGCATTTAGAGTATCATGTAAGTTTGTAACTGAATCCTTCATGACATTTTAATGTGATTGTCTGAAAGCATGGTATCAAAATTTTAAATCAAAATATAGTTTTTAATGTTGATAGCTGTTGAACTGTTATGTGACTTCAAAAAGACCTATCTTGTTTAAATAAACATCTAAACTTGGGACACACAGAATTGAAATGCCAAGAGACTGTCTTTGGATGTGATGAAGTTGGCTTTTTGTTCTCTGGAGAAAAGTTTCAGAAGTGAAACCAACATTTGCTCCAATTATTAAAGGATAAATTATCTCTGATCATAGGTGACTGAAGACAAATTTCTATAATATTTCACTGTAAATAACAAATATTCATGTCATTTATTTATTTATAATTTATATCTCACAGCATTCAAGTGGCTGGATATTGGTGCATGCTCACAGTGGATGGCAGCGTTTGCGCGTACTGTGCGTGAAGAGGGGCTAGTGGAACAAAAGTTCTTTCCAAATGTTTTACATGAGGAAGCGCACAATGTACAGACGCATTCTGTGGACCTCAAGATGCTGGTAAGTAGAATTCCTCTCTCTTACTCACTCACCCTCTCTCTCTCTCTTTCTCTCTCTCTCAGTATGTCATCTTTTACATGTATAATTAATCAGTAGCTGAAACAATTTTAATTGTTCTATGTACATGGTCTGTGCTTTTTTTGGGAGGAGGGGAGAGTTGGGAAACATGCAGTTTTGAGTATTTATTGAAGACATCTCTGTATCTTTTACAATGATGAAGGGGTTAGAGCCTGTGCATGTGTGAATTAAGTGTCTAGTGGGTAGTTACGGATTTTTCTATTCACTTCCAGGAAAGAGCACAAGAGCTTCAGCTAGAGATAGAGCTTTCCTCTAGAGCAAGTCCTGATTTGCATCGACAGAGTCACGAGATCACCATGTTAACTCCTCCCTCTAGCAGTCGAAAGAGCCACCAAGATCTGCAATCATAGGATCAACGTGTCATATTCATCTAGCCATTTTACAGCAACACTTGGAGAGAAGAAAAGAAAGTTAGACTACAATTGACAAGGTGCAAAAAGGCCAAGAAGAGGAGTAGGATTTCTGTCACCGTGTTACAAACAAATACGGTTGGATCAACAGCAAAGCTTGTTTCGGTGAAAAGAGCAAAGATGGAGAGGTTTTTCATTGGATGTGAAGAATAGTCTTCCTACAAGAAGTCTTCTTTTATGTAAGGTTTCTTTTATAGACAATTTTAGCCAAAATGAAGATTCAGTAGTTGACCAAGATTCAGCCAAGATTTAAAGGGCCATACAATGAAACTTAGCACCCATGTCTTATAATGATTTGATTAAGATATTAAAATTGCACAATCATTAGTTGATCATAAAGTGAACATCTTATCTGCATTTTATATTGTTCCTTGATATTTTACTAATGCTGTGCATTAATTTATTCAGTTGCTAAGTTGTTAAATACTTGGAAGCTTTGGTTTTTTTATTATCACAAACATACACTGAACATTTTACATTTTGCATTGTGTTAGACTCCTTATTTGAAGTCTCAGCAGCAGAGTAGAGCTCAAATATGTGTTAATTTCATATTATTTATTTTGGATTTATTCCATGTTATTGGCACTATTGATTTCATCTTTTAAATATTTACTGAATTTAGTTCTTAAGTCACAGCAAATTTCAGTATAAAACGTTTTAAAAACTTGCAAATTTTTAAATAACATTGGTTTGTTTTGTATTTATGTTGCACATGGGTTGGTCGAGCATTTGACTGTGATAGATATTGCAAAGAAGTGTGGTGTAAGTTTGAAATACTTGATGATTCAATGAAGATTTAACAAAGCTTGTAGATTGAAATGGGTTATTCAGACTAGGGAAGATTGCATGGGAGTATCAAGCTGTGAGAAAGTGCATGTGATTTTGAATAAGTTGAATTAGTTCCTTTTCAGCAATGCACTATCGGACTTGGTTTGACAGGTAGAACTTTGAATTTGTGATATGCTTCAAAAGTATGTTTTTGGAAATTTTTATATAGTTTAAACAAGTAGCACAAGTTTCAAGGTTTGACTGAGGTTGGAGAGGACACTAAGTGGCCTGTGTCTTCAATCTTGGGCATCTTTTTAAGCTGTGGTTGATTTTAGCGATAAAGCTGCATGGTGTCATGAAGCACTTTTTCCCCCTTATTTACAGACCTGTTTAAGTTTCATGCGCCATGCCCTGTGCATAAATACCACCAGTCAAGTGTTCAGGTGAAGATAAAGAGTCATTTGATAAATGCACTGTTTCAATGTAATTATGAGAATTTTGCAATCTAAATACATGTACTTGTAATTACCCGTAAATAAGAGCCAGCTTCCGTTTTAAAAATGGGTAGTTTTAAAAATGGGCAGTGTTTGCCAGCTGGAGGTGAGGCTTTCAGCTGACTGCTAATCTTCCCATTTGATATGATTCAATGAAAAAGCAGGGTGCTTTTGTGTAGTCATGTACAATCATAATCAATATGTCACTTTTTTAATCTCAGTCAGGTTCTGTAGCTACAGCTTGACCTTTATTATTATCTTTTTTCATCTTTATTTATTTTTAGAATATAGGAATCATCTTGTCATATGACTAGGCAGTCCATACATATAAAGTCTGCTGCAGTGAAGGTTGACTGGAGTCATTAAAATCAAATCTGTTGAAAGCAATTAAAAGCTTTTTGCTGTTGAACCTTAAACAATTTAAAGCTATATAAAGTTGAAAATTGATGTCAAAATGCTTGTTCTATCCAAACCACCAACACTGAATATACACCACTCTTCAGTAAAATTACTAGTCTTCCCAAGATGAGTTATTTTCACACTTGACAATAATTGTTTTAGACTTAATAATCATTTTAGTATATGTAGTAGCTACTAGTATTACAATTAGAATGAGTGACATTTGGCTTTAGTTAAAAGAATATGAAAAAAATAAGTGTACCTCATTGATTTTAATATATTATGAATTCAGTAAGGACTGCAGATCATTCTTTGTTGAGTTTGATTTGAATGTTCAGTAATTTTAAATTATATCAAATGTGATTTGTGTGCTGCTAAGGAAAGTTGGAGATTATTACATTTAATGCAAACATGGTATATGTTAAGTGATGTTATGATATATAACAAGTTTTACATAGACCATCTATAATCTTATATATAGAAGGCAATGGCATTATAAACTGGGAATATTTATCTATTTTATTTATCAAATCTAGCTCATTGCAATTGTATTATGTAAAGAATGTGTGGAGTGTCTGTAAATTTAAGCGTCAAAGACCAAAATATTGTGGTACAGAATGTATTTATTGTTAGAGAAATGATTTAAGGAATGTTACGAATTAGAAACGTGTGGAACACTTGGTAAGTTATACCAAGCAAAGTTGTATTGAATAAAGTGAAAACTGAAGTATTATTCTTGTCTTATCCAGTTTGAAATCAAAACACTGTCTGTTAAAGACAATCATGTGTTCATGGAATTAAATTTTGTGTTTTCTGTTAAAGTACATAAAAAAAAAGAATTTGGTTGAATTGTAGTTAAAACCTACCAATGGCAGTGCAGTAGTCATAACTTGGTGGAGCTGGTTGTGTTTTACTTCCACCAAGAACAACTAACACAACTCGACCTGTTGCACTGGGTTCCTACTTGTAAAGTTCTATTGCTGTCCCTACCCTGGGTATTCTCCAAGTCCAATGCTGGACACTGTTAAATTCCCTGTTCCTCCGCAAAAAATACATTTCATTACACGATAAAGATATTCAAGTTTAAAGTTTTTTTAAATAATATTTAATCTTATGCAACATATATTGACCATAAATTGAAATTTCACTACCATAACATAGGCAATGGTGCAACATAATGAATTTGACAAAATTTCACTGATGTAAAAATATCTTTATTTTCTCTGCTGTATCAAAAAGGCATGATATGAACATTTATAGCACCATCTTGCACATTCCTTGGTATTTATCATAATTATCTGGGGAAAAATAATAGAATCAAGGACAATTCATAATGTAAAATTCTGCAATGATGATGTTCTAAATTTATCTATTCAAACAAATTATTTGTTAACTCTTCACTCTTAATTCATATGAATTAACCAACCAATACAGTTATTTTCACATGAGCCAGCAATAGCGAACATACAAGATCCATAGTTTATTCGTCTTTTGAAAATATGCAATACAATAATATATTGCATTATATAATATGCATTCACATAAACCTACTCATAATAGACAATATACACTGAGGCTTGCAAAAGTACAGACACTTAACAAAAAAGTCTATCTCATTTTTAATTAACAGCTGTCAAATTTTAGTTAACTTTTAAAAAATTGATACAGTTTAAACAAATAACGAGTTATACATAATTATATATACTCTATCCTCATTTTGACCAAAAATGCTTTTCACTCCCAGGAAAATGAAATGCTTGTAGGGAAGCTGTGAGGTAGGGATGGGCGGGTGTGTGTATGCGTGTGTTTGTTTGGGGGGGGGGGGGGTTCAGCAGCAAGAAATTTAACTGAGGCAAAAAATCATCAAGAAGTTTTCAGTATTCACCCCAAAAGCAGAGATTTGCAGAAAACACTGGGCATTTGATTGGCAATTGACTTAATTTTAACTCGCCCCAACAGAGTTCATGATGGGTCCGAAGAAAGATTAACCTACAGATTTCAGCTGAAGAAATGGAAGTGTAACTGTAGTTGCTCTTGTCTTGGTTTGCACGTGCTGCAACCAAGTGTATTACGTCAAAACGTTTAATATGTCTCAGTAGAAATTTAGCTGGCGGCACACAACCAAGAGGTGTTTAGGTCTCAAAGAGGTAAATTGTTTTCATTATTTTTTTATGAAAGAAATATCTTAATAATATGGGTATAATAGCAGGTTAATAGTGCATTGTTTAATATAGTGTCTACTTATCTTTATTTATTTTTTATTTACAGTTTCAGGGAAATTTAGGAAATGTACGGAAATGTATTTTATGGAAATATGCTAGAACTATGAAACTAAGAAAATACTATGAACAATAAAACGGAAAATATGGAATTGGAAAATATAAGAACTCAGAAATATTTCCGGTTGAACTCAGCCTAACAGTAAATGGACTTGTTCCACAGCGAATCGGACTCTTGTCTCTGTGGTGATTTCCTTGGTAGACAACCTGTACTATAGTAAAGGGCAGGTCTTCATAGGTCACGCTGTCATCATGACCAGGAACAGTTTTCATATGGACATAGTAACCGTAGTATTATTTTGAATTTTTGTGCTATTAGAAAATAATTTTGACATTTCAATCACAAGTGATCAATTTTGACTTTCAATTATACACGAACTTTTGCATTATTAAAGACTATATACCAGTACAGTGTCAGTAGAATGTTCTTTGCCTGAAGTGAAGTTTAAGTCAGGCAGGGGATGATCTGAGAACACATTTGTTCACAGTTACATTGGCCATACTGCATAGTGTATTTAAGTAATTATTTTGTATATATTTGTGTATTACAGAATTCCAAGTTATGCACATTCAGGCTTGTGGTAGCAGCAGGTAGTGAAAGGCTGTCTAAGTGGGTTAAACCCTTAATATAGCAAGAAAATGAATTTTCCTGGAAACCTTAACAGTTTTCCCATAATGGCCAAGGTATATCCTATCCAAAACCGTTCAGAAAAATGAAGCTACTTAAAACCAGTATCTCACAGTACGGCTTCAGAATGCCCAATTTCTCTCTAAGTCTCACGGTTTACTATGAATGAAATACTACAGCTGAGACCCGGATGTTACTATTTGGCACCAAGATAGCAAACATGGAGACGTGTTAAAATTCGGAAGAGCGCGATAAAGGGGAAGAAAAAAACAGTAGTCACTCCGGTTCGCAAAATACGAAAACAAATAAGAAACAGACACAGAAGCTCTCAAACTGTGTGTTGAGAGGGAGGTGGGGAGGTAGAAGAAACTAAAAGCAGAATTAGGTGTAACACACGAGGCACTGCCATTGCCATATCTAGTTGGCGTAAAAAGGCAATTAAACTAGAAACTATTGTCGATGATTGTTGAGATGTAGGTCTTTTAAAGACGTCTCGAGATCTTAGTACAGCATTAGATTGTGTACAAAATTTTGTTCACAGTGCTGGATTAAACAGTGATTTGGATGAGGATATTAGGATCCAAGTAGAAACTATAGAATAAGAACATTTGTGTCTACTTAAAAGAACAGGTGGTTATATCAGATCATTGGATTTAGATGACCAAAGATCACACACCTCTAGCAGGTCTTCTCTTAAGTCTGAAGCAGTTAGTGAAATTCAGCCTAGGGCCACGTCTGTTTTAGAAGAAAGAGAAATTGATAGTTATGTATCTCTTGTTCAAGGTTTGCTGATAAGTAGGCTTCCAGTCCCTAAACCTGCTGTTTTTGATGGTAACCCTTTGCAATATCCGGGATGGAAAGCATCATTCATCTCTCTTATTTCCCATCATAAAATACCCAATGTGGTTATATTGCCAAAAAAAAAAAAAAAAAAAAAAAAAAGGATGCTAGAAGTTCAGCTAAGGATTGTATAGATGGATGTTTTCTCATTAGCACTGAAAGGTCTGACTTATGATGAGGCTATGGCCATTTTGGAAGAACGGTTTGGTAGTCCTTTTGTCATAGCCTCTGTCAGCTTTCCGAGACAAACTCAATCAATGGCCAAAACTAGCAGGGTCAGATGGTATAGGACTTTTGAAGCTGTCAGATTTTCTCAATCAGATAAAGATAGTGATGTCATGCTATCCAAGCTTAAGCATTCTTTACAACGAAAGGGAAAATCAGAACATTCTACCGAAATTGCCTGACTGGCTCATAGCCAGATGGAGTAGAGTGGTTGTTGAAAAGAGGACTAAAGAGGCAAAGATTGCAAGTGACCCTGTAGTTTCTATCTCTGCTTTAAAATCAAAAGACAGGGAAAAGCCCAAAAGGCCAGGTTCATTTTTTGTCAATGATGGTGAAAACAAAACTGCGCAAAAGAAGCAGACACAAAATTTACAACTAGTAGTTGGAAGTAGAGAACATACACAAGGTAGAAGTCAGAACTATAATGTGGGGGGTATCAAGATCAAACAAAGTAGTGAACAAATAAACACCACAAAGTGTCTCCTGTGCAAAGGGTCCCATGATTTGGTCAACTGCAGCCAATTTAGTGCAAAACCTATGCAAGAACGTCAAACATTGGTCAGAGAAAGGTTTGTGTTTCAAATGTCTCTCTCCAGGACATCTAGGCAAGGATTGCTTAGACAAAAAAGAAATGTAAAATCTGTAGTTAGACACTCCTACTAGCTAACATGTACATAGAAATCTACCTCAAGGAAATAGTTAAGTCCCCATGTGAATTCTCTGTCTTTGATGAGTAAAACTGAAGGTGGTGATAAGACTTCCATGGTCATTCCCATATGGCTGTCTCACACGAGCCAGCCTAACAAGGAGCATTTTATGCCCTGCTTGACATGCAATCAGATACTACTTTTATGTCTGATAGCGTAGCTAGTCAATTAGGATTGTAAGGGACCCCTACAAATCTACAGTTATCTACTAATACATCAAACGTCTAGTATATGGGCAGCAGTTTATACAAAATTTAAAAACACGATTAGACGTTGTAGTTATCAGATCAGACGGCGATACTTTAGAACTAAACGAGACATTTCTACTACGCAAAATACGACTAGTCGTGAAAATGCAACTAGAAGTGACAACTCGGTTTGACGCTAGATGGCGCTCATGCCAATGTCTTGGCTACCCTTGCGCTGACTTCACAGACAATACCGCGAAATTTTGACACTGACAAGTGCTTGCAATTGACAGATTGAGGAGAGTTGACAGGTGTTGTACTATAGTAGGCTAGTATAGAGAACAACAATCAGAGACCTCAATCAAGAGCAGATATCTCTAGACGAATAATCGACCTTTTTGCAGAGACGACAGACTTGTTGGGAGTGTTTGTTAGAGCCGGCCAGGATGACGATGATAACAACACCAACGGCACTCAACAACAATCAACGCCAGCAGTGTCAACATGCCGGTCAACAACAAGCATGACAAGCAGCACTAGATCAACCAGGCCTAGTGATGCAGTAGACTTCTCACCGTTGATTCTAGCAGAGCACAGGCAGATTTTTCAGAGCCAGACTCGGAGGACACAGTCTGAACCACCCACTCCCCGACCTTGCTTATTAGCAGATCTGCCACTGCCAGCTGGCCTACAACGGCAACCCCCTACCTCTACTGCTGTAGTGTCTGATGACAGGCCTACTCCCACAACTACTGCTATGGTAAGTAGCCTACTAGGCCTGGGCTTGGCCTTCTGTTTTTATTATCATCGACCCTAATAATTAGATTAATTAATTATTATATTATTAGGCCTATATAATTAAGGCT